GACGGTGCCGGTCATTCTGTTCAGAGCCACGTCCATGCGTGGCCTCCAAGACGGTGCTGGTCATTCTGGTCAGAACCACGTCCATGTGTGGCCTCTAAGACGGTGCCGGTCATTCTGGTCAGAGCCAACACATGAAATGTTTCCAGGAAATTCTAATTCCTTTCCTTTCTCTGTTGAGGATTTTTTTTTTTTTTTTTAAACATTTGAGAGAAGCAGCATCACGTGGTTATTTAAATAAAAAAGATGAATTTGGAGTCTGACAGCTGGGGTTTGTGTCCAGCTCCCCACAGTTTAGCTGTGTGGCTTTGGGCGAGTTGCTTAACCTTCTGGAGCTACTTTCCTCATCTGTAGAAACCAGAGGAAGGTGCTATCTACTACTCAGGATGGAGCTGCCTGGTGCTTGGAGGGTCATGTGTGGGGACTGCTGCAGCCGCGTTTGCTGTTATTGTTGGTGCTTTCCTGTGACAAGGTGTCTCTGAGCCCCATGAGTGGAGCCCGGCCTCCAGCACAGGGCTCTGTCTCCTGGACCTGCCAATACCTCTCCTTCTTGGGTCAGATCTTGGCCAGGCATGGGGACGCTGAGCGTATGACGGATTTCCACAGGTCTTAGCACATTGGGGCCCAGAGGCAGTCGCGGGCAGCTGTGGCACCTCGGAGCTCCTCCCAGGCCAGTGCGGGCAGAGCGGCTGTGTGCAGGCTCCCCAGGCACTGGGCTGCATTCTGGCTCTTGGCCGGGGCCCCAGGACTTTGGGGCTTGGAAATGTTGGGGTGTTGGGTGAGCTATCTGTTCCAATTTTACACCCACTTGAAAATCATACCTTGTTTTTCCTGTAACACTGTGATTTCAAAGAGCTTTTCTTAACACGGGAAACAAAAATGACCCAGGTTGAGAGACTCATACTGAAACCATGGTTCTTGAAGTGGGGTTGCCAGACTAGTGAGCTTGCCTAGCCGTCAGTGCCTGGCATTGAGAGACTCACGCCCTGCACGAACGGAGCTCTGGGCAGGCTCCCCGCGTTTTGACAGATGCTGCAGGTAATTAAATGCACACTGCCCTCCGAGCCCTGCTGTGCAGGAAGGGTGTTGGACACTGGGGGAGATTGGTTGTTTTTGTCACTGCGGGTCACACACGGGCCCAGAGCATGCAGGCACCAACGGGGAACTGCTGCAGGGAATCCGAGGAGCTGAGGATGGAGACAAGGGCTGCACTGCCGGAGCTGCCGGGCTCCTGCCCCTGGGCTTGTGGGACCAGGGCTCTGGTTGGATGGCAGGTGCGAGACGCTCGCTGGCCCATTGGTGAAAGGGGGGCTTTCTTGGATCCCCTGGCCCTTTTGTTAGCCCACAATTTGGACTGCTGACTAGATCCAGCCCTGGAGCACAGCAAAGGGCAGGCAAGACTTCCTTGACCCTTGCCTTTGTTGTGCTTGACCACAGGCCCCAAAAGGACATCTTAAGGAGTAACTCCACAAATAATTAATTGCAGTGTGTCACATGTTGAGAAGCCCAGAGTACAGTGATCACAGAGGGACTCTTGTGCTGCGATGCAGTTTTCTGAATGGTGTTTCAGGCTGTAGCCAGCCGCCCAGCACAGCGGTCGGTTCTCAGCCTTGACTTCTAGTGTGCCAGTGGCCTGGCCTCGCTGAGCTCCGTGCCCCTCTGGGTAGCCCCTTCTCCTCCTCTCCGGCTTCCTGTGCAGCCCTGGCTCCTGGAGCACTGCTCAGGCGTGACCCGCCATGGTGTCGGCCTGGGGATCACAGCAGGCCTGTAGGCATTGTGTGAGCACCGCGCACCCTGCACCCAGGCACACCTGGACTCCAAGTCCTAGCAGCCAGCTGCCTGGAAGGCCTTCAGGTGGTCGCTGTGAGGGAGTCAGTGTGGAAGGATGTAGTTTGAGCAAGGTCGGAGGTCAGGGCTGGAGTCTGGGAGATGTTTTACCAGAGCTCCTGGACCTTCCATATGTAGCACTGTGGGCACGGGCTTAAGTGCCTGTGAGGAAGTTAGGCGGCACAAGAAGTTGTTCTGGATTACCCCAGGTGGCTGCCGGCTGGGCAGTGATAGGACGGGTTGGTGGATTTCAGGGTCCCTGGTCAAATGCTTCCGCTAAAGATGAGGTGGCGGCCTGCTGTGTTTGGGTTTGTGGAGTGTCTTGGACGGCTTGGGCTGTCCAGCCAGCTGTTAGGCCTTTGACAGTTCACAAGGCAGCAGTTCCAGGGGAGCCAAATGAGTCCTCATCTCTGCACCCTTAGAATCTGGAGTACTGAAGGGCTGAGGGTCGCAGGCAGGGAAGGGCGACTAGCTGAAGGGACTGGCTGCAGGACTCTAGGGTAGTGACAAGAAAACTGTGCCTGCTTTCATCTGTCCTTGCAACTTTAGATGGAGGCTGGAGTGACCTTATAGAACTGCACATAGCTGGGACAGGTCCTGTGTGATGGCCGGAGCTCGGTGTGGCCATCTTCGTGAGAGAAGGAGGCTGCAGAGCGGCACACAGCACGGTCAGCGGCGTGGACGCTGGGTGGGAAGTGATAGCAGGTGGCCGCAGAAGGGGACCAGAATTT